TCTGTCCTCTAGGGGCGCTGTGGGTCAGAATGGACTCCACGGCAGTGGGTGTGGTTTGGGCTTTGCCTCCATGAACACTGACAGCCTTGGAGACCCTGTGGCAGTTCCACTCTGTCCTCTAGGGGCGCTATGGTTCAGAATAGACTCCACGGCAGTTGGTATCACTTTCCCACCAGGCCCATGCATGTAAAATAACAAGTCAGGTTCCATAGTGCAAGTTTTGGAAGTTTGGGTTTTCTTGCGTGAGATTTTTTTCCAGGTGACTGATCCCTAATTCTGTTTTGCTTAGACTCATGTCATAGTTGTTTCTGTTGTTTGATCGAGATGCAGAGAGATGGAAGTGGAGGACAGCCAGGAAGTCCACTGTCAGCAGCAGGCCCCACCTGCACTTGAGGCGACCTTCCTGCTGGCAAACTGGGGACGGGGAGGGCCGCTCGGAAGCCACTGAGGCTGGAACGACAAACTATTTTAACGGCGGTCCAGGCGTGTGCGGCTCCTCCCAAGCAGTCCCTTGGCGGGTTATAAAGAGGATTCAGAGACATTAGTGTTGCTTGTACCACCTGTCTGTCAGTCTGTCCTGCTGTGGTGGCCTGTGTGACACCGTGATGCTGGAGGCTAGGCCACCGGCTTTCACATACAGCAGGGTCCTCCACGGTGGACAGGTTTCAGCAGAGCTACCAGACTCAGACAGACTGGGATGAGAGGCGTGACGGCCTCCAGTCTCCTTGAGAGAATCGACCACTGCACACGGTCGGGATGACACGGTTCTGCTCTGATGCCCATCGTGGTGGGGCGAGGGGGCCGCCATCACTCAGAGTCAACCTGATGGCAACTGGTCAGGGTGGGTGGGTGGGAGGGGTGACAAGCGGTCATGGCCTAGCTTCTGTTTGTTGTCACCATAAGATGCCACTGAGTCAATGCCCCCAGAGCAGAACTGCCCCATCGGGTCTTCTTGGCTGTGATGGGGAATCTGGGAGGAGGTACAGGGGACGGCTGAACACAGAGCAAGGTAACTGAGGACACTGCACCACACAGGGGACGACGGCCGCCATGGCAAGTGTTTCGTCTGTTTCACCACAACCTAACAAAGAGTCGCTGGCCGTGTGCCCCAGGGAGGAGCAGGCGCAGGGCGACCCGCTCACCTGGCCCGAGAGGTCACACTCCTGGTCAAAGTCCACATACTCGTCCTCCTTACTGTACATGCCCACGCCGAGCTTCAGCGGCTTCTCGCTGGCGTCCAGCCGGAACTTCAGCTTGCACAGGCTGTCAAAGAGCTTGGACAGGTGGCGGCTGACCTGGGTTGGGGGGCACCACAGTTAGGAGTCCCTCCCTCAGCCTTCCCGTCCTGGGGCAGGTCTGCGCATCTCTCCCGTTGTCTTTTGGAGAGGACGCCCCGTCAAGGAACCCCACGTGGCGCAACGGTTAAATGCTCCGCTGCTAACCGAGCGGCTTCCAGGTCAAACCCACCGGGGGCTCCGTGGGAGGAAGGCCAGGCCATGTGCTCCCACGACGCGTGGAACCTAGAAGCCCCCTTGTGGCAGTTCTGCTCTGTCCTGTAGAGTCGCCGAGAGTCTGAATCGACTCCACAGCACCGCACAACAGCAACGTAACCATCGCTGTTGGTCAGTGTTAACTCACCCAGCTTAACTGACAAAACCTCCGGTGAGGATGCTCTCAGGCTGGACACGGGGCTGGGCCAGCCCGCCCTCAGAGACAAAGGCGCAGCCTGACCATGTCTTTCCCACTGGAAGGTTCTATCCTGCCCGTGTCGGACACCCAGATCCTAACTAGGTGGCCCCACCGTTCCCTGTCACTCTGTGATGAGGACAGTCCTGTCACCCTGAGCTGTTCAGGGGGATATACAAATTAGGGAACAGTTACTGGTGGTGGCCAAACAACGTGACAGTTGCCACGCCACTGAGTGACGTGTGTGAACTGTGGGACAGCAAGTGGGCTGATACCTGTGTATTCAACACAGTTTAAAAGAAAAACGAAATTCCCCGTCCTCCTGTCCTCGCAGAGTGAAGGTTACCCTGTGCTTTTACAGACATCCCTCATGGAGACTCTCCGCCCCGGTCCCTGGGCCCCTGCCTATGGGGGAGGGGAGAGGAGGACCACCCAGGAGGCGGCGTGTCTCTCGGGAGCAGTGCAGGAAGCCCCTGGTGTCGGTGTCCACATCACAGACGGGAAATGGGGGCCCTGGGAGGTGCTGCGTCCACCCCAGGCCACAGTGACCGCAGCCGGAGTCTCCCTCCCCCACGGGGCCGTGGCAGTTTCTGGTGGGAGGGCCCAGTGCCATGACACAAGGACATTCACGGACACCCCTCCTTCACTCCAGGCCAACCCGCTGCAGGGCTGAGGCGGGCCCCGGACCTGGAGGTGGGGCCGTGTCGACCTGCCCCGCGGTGGTGCAGCCGGGCCGCCTACCTCCACGGGGTCGTTGCCGTTGGAGAGGATGTCCAGGAGGTCGGCCGAGGACACGAAGTAGAACCTCGGGAAGGCCAGCCTCTTGGTCTCCAAGTACTCCGCCAGCGCCTTCTCACACACCGCCAGCCTGATGGGGGGAGGCTCAGTCGGGAGGGTCGTTTGCAGCCCAGCCCCCAGGCTCACTGAGCCGACAGCCCTGGAAGCCCCCAGCCTGTTGTTAGTCACCAAAAATCCCAGATGCCACTGAGTGACCGGGCTCACAGCCACCCCACGTCAGCCAGAGGCAAACTGCTCCACGGGCTTCCATGGCCGGGTCTGTGGAAGGAGACCACCAGGCCTTGCTTCCGAGGTGCCTCTCAGTGCTATGCCAACCTCTGGGGTGGCAGCCAAGGGTGCTAACCATGTCCGTCCCTCAGGGACTCCCCGTTATTCACACGCCCAGCTCAATTCACAGCTTCCGACAGGATGGTCTCCTTCCTTTGCCATCCTCTGACCTCGGGGGGTGCCCTGGGCATGAGGGTGAACTGTCTGATCTCTAGTCACCTCTGCCTGCGGGTGTGTGTGGGGACACTGCATGGCTGGAGTCACTGCCCGCCTGCAGGTGTGGGTGGGGACAGTGCGTGGACAGAGGGGCTGGGAAGCACGTGCTGCCAGGGAAGGGGGCACGTCAGCTGACGAAGTGACAAATTTCAGGCCCATGCACTTGAGCTCCCGAGGCAGCGACGTCCGTGTCTGGCTGCCGTGGGGCCCCACCTCTTCTTCAGGTCCTCAAGTTTGTCGTAGAGACCCGGCTTGTTGGTGGCTTCCACCACGTTGGGCGTCTTCACGGCATCTGCCATCAAGGCCTTCAAAGAGAAAGGGGTCACCAGGGGCACCGGGAGCCCTGTTTGCACCCAGGGCGTGATGCCCCCGAGGAGGGGCCGTGCCCACCTTGAATTCCAGGTCGATGGCGTCAAAGCGCTGGGAGTCGTCGGGGAGCTGGGCCCGGATGTCCTCGGAGCCGATGAAGATGCTCTCCAGGTGGCCCCAGGTCCGCTGGACCTCGAACCAGACGGAGATCACCGAGTCGGCAGTGGACAGCCTCTGCTGCCAGCCCGTCACCTCCTGCAGGAAGTGCGACAGGTACTTGGACATCATCAGGTTCTGCAGCTGCACCTGGTTATCCTCCAGCGTCTCCACCAGCACCTCGTCCGACTTGAGCATCGCGGTCCCTGTGCGCGGGTGGGGCTCGTGCTCAAACTCCATTGTGGACCAGGTGCTGTCCAGGGCCTTCAGCACCTGTAAGGGGCACGGGCACAGAGGCCCGGTCACTGCTGTCTGAGACGCCGAGCTGACGGGGGCCCCGAGTGCCTAGGTCACTGGAATGAAGCCTGTGCACAAAAGCGAAAATGCGCAGCAGCACAGTAGCCAAAAGGCAGAAACCACCCGAATGGCCCTCAGGACGGACGGATGAAGGGCACACGCCGTGTCCACACAAGGGGCTGCTGCTTGGTGGGGAAGGAGAGCGGAGCGTCGACACACGCCATTCTAAAGCCAGACCCAGAGGCCACAGACTGCATGCTTCCATGACACAGAATGCCCGCAATGGGCAAATCCATGCCGACAGGAAGCAGGTCACAGGGTACCTAGAGCTGGGGGAGGGGCGGCTGCAGCCAGGACTCTGATCTTCCTCTTTACAGTGAAAGATGTTAATGGTGGTGGAACGATTTAGAATAACTGTGTAATAGATCCTGAAACCACTTCACAAGGTTTCTGCAACAGGCCGGGTGAGGGAAGGCTTGTTCCACCTCCCCCAGTGTCAAATGGCTACGGGGGTCCTGGGAAGTGGGCATCACAAGACACCGAGTCAGTGGCTCAGTCTCGGGGTCGCCCATGCAAGAGAAATCCCACTGAGCGCTACCTTCTCCATTCCTGACTCCTTCACGGCCTTGTCCACGATGTTGCGGACCTCATCCTCGTACTTGTGCAGATTCAGCTGCAGTAGATCCGCCAGGGTCGTCTCGTTCGACATCTCAAACTTCACCTGGTGGCCGGGGGGTGGGGGGAACATTTTGCGTATGGGGTGGTTTGTCCTTTACCCTCTGGGAAGCAGCAGCATTTAGTCCCAGGGCAGCTCAAACAGTTGACGCCACGGGCTACGGGTCTGCTTCCAGAGCCAGCCGCTGCAAACCCCATCCCAGTATGCGTGGGGTCTCCCTGAGCAAGGGGCCCACTGGGCGGCAGCTTCAACAAGACTTCTTTGGGGTCATGGGCTGTCTCTTCTTTTTGGGGGTCCTCTCAACGTGTGCCCTCCTCCACCACACCCTCCTCCCTGAGGTTTCCCACCTGCAAGCCCCCATCCGACCCTGAGCCCTGCCTCAGCCCTTCTGCTTGTCTTACATCCCCCTGTCCCAAGGCCAAGGCCACTCTCAAAATCCTGCCTCTCCATAGTGGTGGTGACACCTCCTCTAACCTCTTAAAGGCCTGTCACACCCGGACACGACTTTTGCTTCCCCGTGTCCCCTCCCCCTCTCTGCCCGTGAGTAGCTGCTTAGTGTAACTTTACTCTTTTCCCTTTGCCGACAGCGGGGAAGGTTCCTTTTGGCCTTTGGCGGGTGCCCCTGGGAAATTCGTGCACTCAGACTCCATGCTCTGGGGTGCACAGGGGCCACAGAGGAGCTGTTTCTCTCTCCCAACTACCTGAGCCCTGGGGACATTCAACCTGCAACCAGGATCAGCTGTATAATCTGACAGCCCCAGTGCAAGTGACCATAAGGGGCCCTTGTTCAAAGTTTACGGAGGGTTTCAAGATGGTGACAGCAGAGATGATATCACATGTGGGACAATCCCCACAACCTGGCTTTGTCAGCTTCAAGCCCAAGCACCCCTGGTGCCCGCTGGGGCCAGCCAGACCTGGACAGGCAGTTGGGCCGTCAGGGCGGCCCCAGCGGGCGGCTGTACACCTGCACACCGCCCATCGTGAGTGGCTGCCGGTGGCCGTCCCCCCGCCCCCTGGGGACACAGTACCTGGGTGGCCATCATAAGCTGCTGCCAGTGGCGGTCCCGAATGGCGGGGTTCTGCAGCTCGCTCACGGCACGCAAGGCCGTGATCATGTTCTTCACGGTGTTGTCGAGACCCACGAAGGCGTCCCACGTCTTCATCTCCTTGTCCAGGGATCTCACGTCCTTGGCAAACTTCTTGCAGTCGATGTCCATCTGCTCCACATTGATGTTCTTCCACTTGGTGGTCTTCCAGTCGTCAATGCTGGTGTTCACCTGAGATGGGGACAGCCGCTTCTCTGAGGCACACGTCGGGGAGGACCCACGGAGAACCTGTCCACCTTACTGTAATGCTCATAGGGGGTGGAGCCCGGGGAGGGAGATTCAGCACCAAGAACACAGCTCAGTGAAATGGTTGGATTGGGGGGGCGGGGATCAATGGCTACATTAATAGCCACGAATCAGCAGCTAAGTGATATTCCGGTAAAACAGTGTGGTTGGCTTTGCTGCGGTATTCACCAGGGCCAAGTTCTCACCCACTTCTGGCCTGGCCGCAGAAGTCATCTTGGTCAGTGGCATCTGAGTGACGCGTGTCACTTCTGGATAGCAGCATGTAATTGCCAATGCCTGGCTCAGTGTTGTCCACCCTGGCTTTGGTGGTCGTGGGAGAGTGTAGTGACAGGCAGGGGCCAGGAGAGCCAAACCACCAGGGATGCTGAGCCCCCCGTGGCAGACTGCTGCCCAGGGCTGCTTAGAGCTGGACTGTGGGCTTTGTGTACAGGACACACACATCCTTGTGGTTAAATACATGGGGGTCTAGGACTGTCTGTTACAGCAGAGCAACAGGGCTCATACTGACTGATAAACATACAACAGAAGACGTTGTCCTCACAACACTACGAGACAAACCCAGCACCCTACCAGGGGTGGGAGTGGAAAGTTGGGAAGCGTTTGGGGTGAGTTGGGAGTGGTTGGGGGGCTGGGTACTGTGCCGCTGGAGGACATCGGAAGTGGCTGACGCAGGCAGGCACTCGAGGCAGGAAAGTCTTGCTAGATAAAGACAAAGTAGCAGGATGGGGGTGGCATTTATAGGGTGTTTACACCGAAGATAAACCAGGAAGCAAAAGAGAAACCCACTGCCGTGGAGTCGATTCTGACTCACAGCCCCCCTACAAGACAGACTGGAACTGCCCTGTGGAGTTTCCAAGGCTGTCAGTCTTTTTGGAAGCAGGCTGCCTCATCTTTCTCCCACAGAGCAACTGCTGGGTTCAAACTGCCGACTGGTTAGCAGCCCAGCGCCTTAACCATTGCACCACCAGAGCGCCTTCACTTTGAAGACACTAGGACTTACAGTCTTAGCCCACAGAAATCAGTGGCCCTTTCTGGCAGGGTCAAGCTTATCTGTTATCATAAACGTGTCCTGGCTAGTTGGTGGGAGAAGTTTTTGGAAACACCTCAACTTTAAAGGCGTATGGTGATTTCTGGGAAACGTCACCTGCATTCTCTCATCTGAGCTGTTACTTGTTCCGACGCACGGTGACCCCACACAACAGAGCACAGCTGCCCCACAGGGATTCCTAGCTTTCCTCTCGACAGGGAGCTGTGGTGGTGCCGCGGTTAAGTGCTTGACTGCTAACCCGAAGGGCAGCGGTGGGCTCGGGAGAGCGACTCATTAAAGAGGTGTGGACGGCCGCCACCTTTGAGTAGGGGACAGGCTGTGTGTTTCCTAGTCAGATCAAAATACCTCAGGCAACAGAGTCAGTTGCCAGGCAACACGTACACAACCCTTGTTCATGGCAGCGATGACTGAATCGTTTTGAACCTGTTCAAAGCCCTGGTGGTATTCCACACAGATTTTGAAAAAGGGAAGATGGGAGAGATAATGACAGAGGGAGGAGGAAGAGAAGAGGTGGCAAGAGAGGAAGGGAAGGAGGAGGAGGAGGAGGAGGGCACCCACAGAGAACAAGACACACAGGTGCTTTTGTGCTGTGACCTCATCTCGGGTCTCTCAGGCGTCTCCACTGATGGCATGTCTCACAGCTACAGGCAGGGGGCACTCTGGGGGCTGAGTGTGAGCAGAGAAGGGGGCACCACCTCCGTGGCCTCTGGGGGCTGAGTGTGAGCAGGGGGATGTCGCCTCCGGGGCCTCTGGGGGCTGAGTGTGAGCAGAGCAGGGGGCACCGCCTCCGGGCCCTCTGGGGGCTGAGTGTAAATGGGGATGTCGCCTCCGGGCCCTCTGGGGGCTGAGTGTAAATGGGGATGTCGCCTCCGGGCCCTCTGGGGGCTGAGTGTCAGCAGGGGGATGTTGCCTCCGGGCCCTCTGGGGGCTGAGTGGGAGCAGGGAGGTGTCTCCTCCGTGGCCTCTGGGAGGGCTGAGTGTAAATGGGGATGTCGCCTCCGGGCCCTCTGGGGGCTGAGTGTGAACAGGGGTATGTCACCTCCGGGCCCTCTGGGGGCTGAGTGGGAGCAGGGAGGTGTCTCCTCCATGGCCTCTGGCAGGGCTGAGTGTAAATGGGGATGTCGCCTCCGGGCCCTCTGGGGGCTGAGTGTGAGCAGGGAGGTGTCTCCTCTGGGCTCTCTAGGGGCTGAGTGTGAGCAGGGGGGTGTCGCCTCCATGGCCTCTGGGGGCTGAGGGTGAACAGGGGTATGTCGCCTCTGGGCCCTCTGGGGCTGAGTGTGAGCAGAGCAGGGGCACCACCTCCGGGCCCTCTGGGAGCGGCGTGGCTGGGCTCTCACCATGACCACCATGTCCCAGAGCTCCTTCAGCAGGCGGACCTCCTTGTGGCAGGCCTTGAGCTGCTTATAGTCCGGGACCGTGACCTCGAACAGGCTCCCGGACTTGGACAGTGCCTCCATCATGGCCTCCATAGCTGCGATACTCTTCTGTTGCTGGGGAGGCAGGGGGAGCACACGGGGGGTGGGGCAAGTGGATATAGTGGGGGCCACACGGGGTGATGGGTGTAGAGGTGGCCGGGAGAGGAAGGAGCCGGAGGGATGGCTGGGGTTTGAGGCTGGGCGAACGGAACTGCTGAATGAGAACAGAATGGAGACCGGGGAGGCGGGGGTTTGCAAGGTTCACGGCCACTTGGGCAGGGCGAGCAGATGGCCATCAGCAGCACCCAGAGAGGTGAGGCAGTGGGTGTGGGCGGGACCGTCCGTTTCTGAGCAGACATACACACTCACACATGTGCTCACATGCGCTCATGAGAACAGGCACATGCCCTCTTACATGTGCTCACGTGCTCATACATACATGCGTACACACATGCACACACACCACATATGCACACACACATGCACACTCATATCCACACTCGTGCACACTCATACACATGCACACACAATGCACTCACATGCACACATGCTCACATATGCACAATCCACTTTCAAGTTGGTGCACACACATCCATGTATTCATGTGCACACTCACACACGCAGGAGTGAACACTCACACAAAGGCACACTGATGCAAACTCACACACACAGACACGTGCATGGGTGCACACACCCAGCCCCACGCACGCAAACGCAGACAGGTGCATGCGTACACACACTCACACTCATGCACACACATGCACACATGACCATGGCCAGTCACACGGCACCGTGTGTCTGGAGTCACCAGGACAGGCTGAGAACAGAGAAGAAGGCCACAGGCTCCCAGAGGAGGAGCCAAGCTCCCTAAGCAGATACCTTGTTGAGGGACTTGTAGGGGTCCGGGTCGCTGAAGGAGAATGGGGCGTCTTGTCGGAACTTCTCCCGGAACTCGTACTGCTTGAGCTGCGGGAGAACGAGGGTGGAGACGCGGTCAGACCTGCAGCAGCCGAGCAGGGGGCGGCCCGCAGACGCCCCGAGCACCGCCCCACCTCCCTGCCCAGGCCTCGCACCTCGAACTGCTGGCACTTCCTCCTCAGGATGCTGACCTCGTTGGCCTGCAGGGGAGCCACGTTCTGCTTCACCTGGATGGCCAGCTTCTTGGTGTTCGTCCATTGCTCCGGCAGCTCCTGCACAAGGCCAAGGCCAGGGCCAAGTTTCCTGAGTCTTCTCTTTTTCAAACTTCTTATTGCAAATTAGAGACTCACAGGAAGTTGTAGAAACAGTACAAAGGGTCCCGTGTACCCTTCCCCAGCTTCCTCCAAGGTGGCACCTTACTTAGCTGTGGATCAACATCAAAGCCAGGATTTGACCTTGGTCTGTTTCTATTAACTGGACCACAGGACTTACTCAGTTTGCACCAGAATGGTTTTGCTTTGTTTTTTCATAAGAAGGGTTCTCTGTTTATTTGTTGTTGTTATGTGCCGTGCGACCCCTCCTTGGGTTTTGGAGGCAGTATCACTACGGAAGTAGATTGCCCAACCTTCCTTCCGAGGAGTGGCTGGTGGGTTTGAACCGCCAGCCTTCTGGTTAGCAGTCAAGTGCCTTAGGCACTATGCTACCAGAGCTCCTGCCTTCTGGTTGGAGGAGCCCAAATAGTAAGGAGTGGCTGGTGGGTTTGAACCACCAGCCTTCTGGTTAGAGGAGCCCAAATAATAATGACCATGAGCTCTAGGATGTACATTGAAAGAACATGTCCAAGACACCTGTGACTTCAGACATGTGTAGCTGGCATGTCTTGTATCACAAAGGCTGAGGGAGGGTCTCAGGGAAGGCAGAAGGTTTGGGGATCCAGATGTAAGGGGAGAAGAGGGGACACAGTGACAGCCTGTGGTGTTACTGATGACTATTTACAATCCTTTGGCCTGGAACACTTTCAAAATATTTCAGGAGCACTGGTTACCTTTCTCCCCCAAACTTCACTCTTCCCCTCAGCTTCTTTTTCTTTTCCCCATGTGATGCCTTTCCTCATTTTCCCTTCCTCTTCTCTGTTTTGCAGAGCTCTGAGTTTGTTCCATTATTAAAACCCCAGGATATTCTGAAGGGCTAACTTCTTTTCCTTTTATCTTCATTTTCCTCTGATCTTCGACGTGCAACTGGTCTATTAATGAAGGCTCTTAGCTCGGAAGCAAACTGCACCTCTCAGATTGGTCACTCTTGCCATCATCTCCCCCGGCCAAACCTATTACCTCCATCCTTCCAGACGCTCAGGGACAAAACCCTGGAGTCATCCTGGGCTCTCCTTTCTCTTAAGCCCCCCATTTGGTCATCAGCTACTCCACCTCTTTATACCTGGTTTAATATCACCTTTCAATGGACTCCTTTCCTGAGAATCCCACCTAAAGGTGAAACCTGCCCTCCCCATCACCTTCTGTACTGTTCTATTTGACACACCATGAGATGTGGGCTGCTAACCAGTCAGCCTTACTTTGTAGCTCACTATTTCCGTAGTGATACTGCCTCGGAAACCCAAAGAGGGGTCGCTATGAGTCGGGGCCGACTCGATGGCAAACAACAACAACAACATTATTCAGAGCAGAGCAGCAGCCAGGGAGCCAGGTAAGGAGAGGGTGGAGAGGTTTCAAATAGCTAAGAGAGACAAACTTGTCTGTCAGTTTGTTGTGCTATGGTGGCTTGCATGTTGCTGTGAGGCCTGAGGCGGTGCCACCGGTGTTTCAAGTGCCAGCAGGGTTGCACCTGGTGCACAGGTTTCAACACAGCTTATAGACTGAGACAGACAAGGAAGAAGGAAGGGGCCATCCACTCCTCAAAGAATTGGCCAGGGAAAACCTTATGAATAGCAGAGAAACAATGTCTGATACATTACTGGGCAACTTTATGAGTAGCCCAGAAACATTATC